TCTGTACAGCTCATTTTTCACCCACAGTTTGCTTATAGATGAGTAGCAAGTAAATTTATCATAGTAACCTGTCGTTTTTACTACTTTACTAAATAAATATCTTATTCTATGAAAACAAAACAAAACAAAAAAGCCTTGGTAGAGGGGCTGGGGACATGGTTCCGATCCCTAGCGCGCACAGTAGGTGCAGTGATGCATACATGCCCAGCACTAGGGGCAAGGCAGGGTGACAGCTCCCAGGGGCTCACTGACGGCTAGTCTAGTTGAAACACCGAGCTCTAGGAACAATCGGAGATTCTGTCTCCAAAACTACGACAGAGGGCTTGAGAAGCGGCTCAGCCTTTACAGAGACCCTAAGCTGGTTTCCCACCACCTACTTCAGGCAGCTCACCTGTGACTCCAGTGACTTCAAGTGGTCTCCGCAGGCATCTGCCCTCATGTGCGCACACCTCCATAAAATCACATGGGCGCACGCGTACACACACACACACACACACACACACACACACACACACGCACACGTGTAATTTAAGATGAAATGAATGTGTTTTTCTTCTTAAATATGGGGGACAATGAAAGAAGGAAACCCCAAAACATCAGCCCTCCTGGTCTCCATGTGCACAGGAGGTAAGAGTAACATAACACACACACACACACACACACACACACACACAACCTCAGCAGAAAAATTTCTTGTTCCCTTAAAACAGAAAAAAAAAAAAGCATCATTGGGCAAATGGATAAGTAGAGAGGTACATTAGAATTCTAAACTCTTTTAGAGAGGAAAAAGAGCACATTTGTTTCATAAAACCTGTGTTTTGTGTCCGTCGATGCCGCTCAAAGCGTATCATATATTTTAAGTTTTTATTACAGTTGTGTCCTTTTTGGCTGGGAGCAACGAAATTATTTCCCATGTGACATTCTCCCCACTTCCTATGAAAGTTAGATTATTTATGAAGCTGTGGCTTAGCGACAAAGGAAAAGAGAAACTGTCCTTTCCGACCTCCAGAGAAGCAGTGTACATGAAAGAGCCTGGGGCAGGGGAGGAAGTGCCTGTCTCTGCCCTGGCTCAGCAGGAGGAACACCAGTGTTTCTCAGCTGAGAAAGGCACAGCCTCCTTGCAACTCCAGGTTCACAAGCACGGCGTTCAGGACTAATTAGCTATCCTTACTGCTCATTCCTTGAGTTTCTGCTCTTGCTGCAATCCTTCGCTGTGAAATCGCCATCTCCAGGACTGCTGAATGGGACACACTGGTGTATTTTAGCACAGCCACGGGGTGCTTGTTCTTTTTTATTATTATTATTGCTAGTCTGTCTCTTTCCAGATAGAAACATTCTTTGTCCAGTTTTGTTTTATGGGTTTTTTTTGGGGGGGGCGGGGGCAGTGTTTTGAGACAGGATTTCTCTGTGGCTTTGGAGGCTGTCCTGGAACTAGCTCTTGTAGACCAGGCTGGTCTCGAACTCACAGAGATCAGCCTGCCTCTGCCTCCCGAGTGCTGGGATTAAAGGTGCTTTATCCAGTTTTGTAAGAAGCCAGTGAAAGGATGCAGTTTGTAAGGGCCTTGGTTATCCTGCCTCTCTAAGGCTCCAAACACAGGATGCCTGCTGGTTTTCCTGGAATTGTTTCTATCTTAGGATAGAAATTCTACACACATTTTCATACCTGCACTAAGCTCAATTCGTAATTCAATGGGCTTAATTTGATAATTTAATGTTCACACGAGTCAGTAGAAAATCTTGCTTCAATGTTTTAGAGCCAAACCACTCAATTACAAATACACTCAGCAAACTTCCCTTTGAAAACATAACCTGCCCAGGAGATAATGCCAAGACCAAAGACCGACTCGTGTGAGTGTCTGGGTGGGCAGCGCGTGAGCGTCTGAGCTTATTTCAAGCGAAGACCTTGTCATTTTGTCTTCAACAAGTCACCAGAACACCGGGCATAGTCATATTCAAAATGTGACTGTGACATCCACGTAATGGGTCATTGTACAGACATTAAAATTATCTCTGTGCAGAATTTTTAATGACATAGCAAATTGCTGCTTTCGTAGTCACTAAGAAAACAGTGTTTAATCATTTGTTCTGAGAAGGTAAAAAAATCAACATATCAACTGCAGTTTTCTCTAGACAATAGTACTTTAAGAGAAAAAAAACAACATAATTTTTTTATTGACTCTTTGGGAATTTCACATCATGTACCCAAAACCCACCCATCCACCAGCCCCTACATAACCACCCCTACAGCATTCCTTCCAAAGGGAAACCCAAAAAGAAATAACGAAAACAAAACCAAAAATAATACAAACAAGAAAATCAACTAAAAAACAAACAAATGTAAAAAGTCCCAAACAAACAACAATAAAAAAAAAAAAACCTCTTCCATCTTTCTCCCCTTACCGTCATCTCTTCATTCATCTTAGTGGCCTTGGGTCACACAGTAGACCGCTTTGTCCAAATAGCTTCACTTTCGAGTGTTCATTGTGTAATGTGTTGTTGGTCTGGTGCAAGGCATCTGGTTTCCAGTACATCATCAATACTGGACCCTCACTGAAACTCCTCTCAGATGCTGCTGTTGACCTGAGCCATGGACATCCTGTGGCTGTGGTTCCACAGGACCAGTCCCTTCATGTGCTCCAGCAGGTCACAGAGGGGGTACATGTTGGGCTGGGCCAACTCAAAGTCCTGGGTGTCGGCCTGAGTGGTAGTAGAGTTGGTCAGTCTGGGCCTCTGGGACCAACCCACCCCACCCCCCAAGCAAGGTGCAGAGCCAGTTCAGTAAGGCCCTTGGATTCCAAACACGTGGCTCAACAAAGGGTTCACATGGGCCCCTGTGGTAACATGGGCAAAGGGACATCAGTAGAGACCCCAGCTGTAGCAGGACCTGTCACTGTGGGCCTGGGTGACTGCACAGGCCTCTCAGATTGGCATGGGGTCCAGTAGCAGCATGGTACCCGGCATCCCCAGATTCTAACATGGTCCCAGGTGGTGACCCAGACCCCACTAGTCCACAGCCTTCAGTGGCAACAGGAGCAGGCACAGACATCCACACAGGCCCAGATGGCAGCACAGGCCACCAGATCAGCATTACCCTGGCTGCAGGGTGGCCCTAGGACACCAATATGGCCCCAGGTTATCCATATGGCCTTCTACGGCAACAGGCGCCATGGGTATTAACACCAACCCTGGCTACAGTAGGGCTACAGGATAATAGTGGGTTTTTTTAATGTTTTGTTTTTTAATGAAAACATTTTTTCCTCTGTTTTTACTTTGAAAAACTCAGCTAAGTTTTTAAATAAAAATTTCAAGTTCAGATTACACTATGCATCTTTTTTTATGATTGCACCTTTGAGTTCTCCAGTGCCTGTATTTGTCAGGGAATGAGTCTACAAGAGGCATGACACAGATATCAAACTGCCTCTTTGAGCTGAGCCCATAGCAGCAGGCTCTGGCTCAGCTGTGAGAGTCCAGCAGCATGAGTCATTCCCGGAAGAGTAACACACGACACGGAATAGAAGGACGAAGACAAGAAAATAAGTCTCAGATAAATGAAAAACCACCTAGAGACTCCATCCCAAGATAATGAAAAACCATCTACAGACTCCATCCCAAGATAAGGCTAAGGTGTCCAGCTCAGTCTGGACCTAGAAGTGATCTTGAATCTAGAGTTGGTCCCAGAATTGTAGAAGCCATAAGCACATGGTGGGTCCGGGAATTATTATTGTGTTTTCTAGAAAGGACCTGCACAAAACAGAAGAGAAATTGAGGGCAAATGTGAGGAAAGTGTCCGGAGAGAAATCACAGCTGTCACCGAGGGCCATGGCTCGTGGCTCTGCTCTTTGCCCTGTAGATAACAAGAAGTCATCAGAGATTTACGAGAGCTTTGCGTCTTAGAAAGATTCCTCTGATGGTGTGGCCGGGGACAGTGACAAAGTGACAGTGAGGACAAAGTGCAGTGCAGACTTGGGTCCAGCAGCCTGCTGGGTGCGGTGTGTGAAGGGAAGAACCAGGAGGAGCTCTGGACGAGGAGGCCTTGGAGAGGATGCTGGGATTGATGGCTTTAGTGTGGGATAAATTTTAAATATTTAAATGTTAATCATTCTCGGCTTTCTTTACTTTCCTCCTACCTTCTCCTGCCCTTCTAGCTCTTCCTGTCTCCCATTTCATTCCTTTGCTTCTCTCCTCGTACCTCCCTTTCTTTTCTCTCCCTCTTTGCCACACAGTCATTCAGTAAACTTATGAAGCCCTCCCTGTAACTAGGCGCTGTCACTGTCCTTGCTCAGTCCCTATGTGTCTTCTTCCATCACGGAAGGCAATCATTTTTTACAGCCACGACTGCCAAGCATCTCTACTCAGGAAACAGCAAGTAAAGCAAAGACATGAAATGCTTAACTTCTTCCATAGTGCCCTGAATAATACATGGTTTTTATATTGGAATACTACTAATGGCCATTTTCTTTGCAGGTAGTGCCATAATTTCTGTCATGTTTCTAAAAGAAAATTTGAGAGCCTCGGATTTACTGGGTGAGTATCCGTTTAATTCATCTAATTATAGCGCCTCTCGATCGATAAATAAATACTAGCCTATAAAATCACATACTTAAAGACAGAAATTTAATGAGACGGTTGCAAGTCTCACTTAGGGGGTGAGCATTCTCCCTGGGAGACACTGCCTCTCCTCATATACAGCTCTCGTTTTCATTACGCTACTGCTGATTATCGGCTGAAGCAAAGTGTTGTCTTACAATATTGTTATTGCTTATGTTGCGATACTTTAATGAACATTATTTACATATTTACACTGCCTAAAAGTCAAGGTCACCAAGTATTAGCTCCACCGAATGAGCACCTGTTTTATTTAGCACCTTCCAAAAGTAACGTGGAAATTTTCTCTTCAAAATGTTGTTCAGAGGGGCTGGAAAGATGGCTTAATGGGTAAAGTGTTCTCTCTGCAAGCATTAGGACCTGAATAGGATCCCAGAACTCACAGAAAAGCCTGGCTTGTGGGTATGTCTCTGAAACCTAAGTGCTGAGGAGAGGCTCTCG